GGGATGCCCCAGGCTTAGGCTTTTGGTTGTCCTTGAATTATCTTAGGGTTCCATGGTCATCCCCAAGCTTAGGCTCTTGCCACTCCTTATTCCATAGTCCATCAAATCTTTACCCAAAACTTGAAAATTTCACAACACAAAACTCAACAGGAAATCTCATGAGCTCCGTTAGTGCAAGAAAGAAAAAACACCACTTAAGGTACTGTAATGAACTCATTATTTATTTATATTGGTGCTAAACCTACTGTATTCCAACTTCTCTATGGTTCATACCCCCTGATACTAGCCATAGATTCATCAAAATAAGCAAACAACACACGAAACACAGAATCTGTCGAAACAGAACAGTCTGTAGCAATCTGTAACTTTTGAATACTTCTGGAACTCTAAAAATTCTATCAAAATAGGAAGTCCTAAGAAATTTATATATTGATATACTACAAAAATAATCAACTCAAAAGCACGTTTCTGTAATTTATTAAAATTATTCTCGTGCGCGCAAAAGTTTCTGTTTTTCAGCAAGATCAAATTAACTATCACCCAAGATGATCCTATAGGTTCTACTTGTCACAAGCACTAATTGAAACATAAAACCACATCTAAACATAGGCTAGATGAATTATTTATTACTAAACAGGAACAAAAAGCAAGGAAATAAAATTGGGTTGCCTCCCAACAACCGCTATCGTTTAACGCCCCTAGCTAGGCATAAAAGCGAGAATAGTTCTAAGTATTGCCATCTTTGGTATTCAATTCTTTAATAGAGCACTTATAACCCTTAGGAATTTCTTTCTTTTTAGTAATGATTAAACTCCTTGGCAAGTAATTAAGAAATTCACTTGTAGCAAAAGGTTCCTTAATGATAGTAATTAAGAAATACTTCCTGCTTGATTGATCTTGATGATATGAGTATTACAAGAGTTGATCTACCACGAGATCAGAGAGGCTAAACCCTAGAAGCTAGCCTATGGTATGGTTGTTGTTCTACGGACTAAACCCTCCGGTTTATATAGACACCTGAGGGGGCTAGGGTTACACAAAGTCAGTTACAGAGAAGGAGATCTATAATCCGGATCGCCAAGCTTGCCTTCCATGCCAAGGAGAGTCCCATCCGGACACGGGACGAAGTCTTTAATCTTGTATCTTCACAGTCCAACAGTCCGGCCAAAGTATATAGTCCGGCTGTCCGGATACCCCCTTATCCAGGACTCCCTCAGCTACCACGCCCGATGCGCTGCTAGGGGGTCAGCCTGGCCCACGACAGCCGTGGGGGCACTCAAGGGGGCACCACTGGAGGAGGCTGCCGTGTCAGAGGGCGCGCGGGCGGGGCTGGGATGGTGCTCGGCGAAGGGGACGGCTCGCCAGAGGTGGTGGCAGGGGCGAGCCACGTCGCGGGAGAAGCCGGAGGCTGCTCGATGGAGGATGGTACCTGCTAAAAAGGGAACACCAGCTCATCAAAGTACACGTGTCGCGATGTATAAACATGGTGGGATGTTGGATCATAGCACCGGTAACCTTTGGTGTTGGGAGGGTAGCCGAGAAAGATGCAAGGAACCGACCGTGGAGCGAGTTTGTGAGGAGTGGTGGACGCGGTGCTAGGATAATAGAGACACCCGAAGATGCGGAGGCCATCGTAAGATGGGGCGCACCAAAGAGGAGCTGGTGAGGAGCGTAGTTCTAGCAAGGACGACACGGGCGAATGTTGATGTGGAGGCTGGCGGTGGCAAGAGCATCCGGCGAAAACCGAGGGGGCGCGTTAGACTGAAAAAGTAACGTGCAGACACAATCGTTAAGAGTGCGAATGGCATGCTCAGCGAGGCCATTTTGTTGGGACATGTAGGGACAAGTGAGGCGAAAGACGGTGCCGTGAGAGGCCAGAAGGTTACAGACAGCGACGTTGACAAACTCTTTTCCGTTGTCAGTTTGTAATGAAAGTATAAGACGACCAAACTGTGTGGTGACGTAGGAATAAAATGCGGTGAGTGTGGCAAGGGCGTCGGACTTGCGACGAAGAGGAAATGTCCACACATAATGAGAAAATCATCTAAAGTCACCAAATAGTATAGATAGCCCGTGTGCTTGCAACCGAGGACATCGAAACATCACTATGCAATAACTGGAACGGAAAATTGGAAATAGTTGTAGACGCGCTAAAGTGAAGACGAACGTGCTTGCCGAGACGACAAGCCTCACAAGTATGGTTGTCAACCTTATTACATGAGAAAGAAAAACTCTGAAGAATCTGACGCAAAACTGTGGAGTTGGGATGACCGAGACGATCATGCCAAAGATCGACACTGGCGGCGAGGGTGGCTGGACTGGTGGCGGGGGTGGCGGCAGCAGAGGGATGCACCAGATAGAGCTCGTCGGGGCTATCACATAGGTGGAGTACAATTCGGGTACGAGCGTCCTTCACAGAAAAGCCAACATCATCAAATTTGACACTAATAGGATTCTCATGAGCAAGGCGACGAACGGACACAAGGTTCATAACTAAGTCAGGAGAGACAAGAACATTAATCATGTTAATAGGAGTAGAAGTAGATGGAAACGACATATGACTGACATGTGTAATGGGCAAGGAGGAACCATTACCAACAGTGATACGAGTGGGAGTACGAATGGGGGTGGAAGATGTGAGGTTATCGGGATGACATGTCATATGAGCGGTGGTGCCCGAGTCCATGTACTAGTCACCGCTGCCACCGTAGTTAATGGGTGACGGGGCCGAGTGCAAGGCGACTAGGAGTGCGGGATCCTACGGCGGCGGCACCTGGGGCGGGTAGAACCAGCCATAAGAGGGCGCCGGAGCGGCGCCAAGCCACCAGCGACCGGCGGTGCAGGAAGGGCTGGGTAGGGGCGGCACCAGATGTGGCGAGGTACGCCTGGTGGCTCGCCGGACGAGGCCCAAGGATGCCCGGTGCAGGAGGTCGGGGGACTGACATCGAGTACGTGTGGACGACACGAGTCCATGGGTTGGTGACGTACGTCCACGACGGAGTGGGCTGTTGCTGACGATGGGCCCTCCTGTACGCATGCCCCCTCCCCATGCGCCTGCTACTGCTGCTTGGGGTGCCGCCCCCGCGACGGTTGTCGCGCCGTCCGCCACCTTGCGACTGCTGCTGGGGTGCAGCGGGAGGAACGGGGGTCGCGGGTGGGAGGGGGTAGTACTTCGGGGGCGCAGGGGACGGCGGTTGCCGCGGCACGGCTGGGGCAGGCGACGATGGAGCACCACGAGAGGTGCCGACGGTGAGGGTGTGGTCCTGCACGTGCTTCTTCACCTGCTTCATCCGGCACTCCTCCAACCGCAAGTACGCCACAAACTTGGGGAAGGAGGGCTCCGGCATCAAGGTGAGGTTGGCGGCGGCGTTACCAAAGTCCTTGTTGAGGCCGGCGATGAGCATGCCGAGGAGAAGATCATCATCAATCTTGGCGCCGATGTCACGGAGCTCATCCGACAACGTCTTGAGGCGGCGGCAGTAGTCATCGATGGATTGATCGTCCTGATGACAGTCAAAAAATCCCTCCTGCAGAAAAACGCAACGCTGAAGCTTGATGTCGGTGAAGAGGCCGTAGAGCTTGACCTACACAACGCGTGCGTCATCACCATCGCTCACGACCGTGTGAAACAGGTTCTTCGAGATGGTGGTGAAGAGCCACCGGATGAGTGTAGTGTCGATCGCGGTCCACTAGGAGACGTCCGCCATGGTGCGAGAGTCGACGGTGCCGTTGACGTGATCCACCAGATTGTTCTCGCGGAAGAGGAGAGAGAAATAGGTCTTCCACGTGTAGTACGTGGAGTTGGTTGCGTTGAGGATCACGGGAACGCGGTCATGGATGTTGATATCGCGGATGTCAGTGGGATCCGGACCAGCGAAAGGGTTGGTGGCGCCGGAGATGGATGAGTGGACAGACATGGTGAGGGAGAGGTGGCAGCGCGTGGAGGGGAGAAGAGGTGGCGGCGGCTAGGGTTGTAGATGGGAGGGAGAAGTGGCGGCGCATCGAGGGGTGGTGGCGCAACGGCTGTTGGGGTGGAGCAGCTGCGAGGGAAGGAGCAGCGGCGTGGGAGGTTGGTGGCGGCGGCGGCCCGGGGCAGCGGCGGCTAGGGTTGCGGAAGCGGTTTAGGCAAGGATCAATACGGTATCTGATACCATATAAATTTGGGAGAAAGGGATTGTGTGCATCGATAATTCTCATTGATCGTGCACTAGGCACATATATAGATACAAGGGGTTCGTCTGGTGTCTTGTCTCCCAAGATACAACAAGTTACAGAGGGGAGAGAGACGCTACAGGTGCAACGTACAATACCCAGACCTATATACGTATGTGCATGTTCAACAGGGTTGGGCTTGGGCTTCATTCTACAACATGAAAACGTATTTGGGCTTGGGCATCCATTTCCTGATTTTTGGGCCGGGCTTCCGGGCTTTTGGTTGCTTTTCAAGATGGGATCAAAACTTGAGAAAAAAAAAGCATTTTTAGGCTTTGGGCTTGTTGTTTAAGGATCGGGCTTTTGCAAGCCCGGTCCAAAAACCTGGCCCGGCTCGGCCGGCCGGCCCATGTATGATCATAGAGAGAACGAAATGGAGCCAAGGAGGGTAGGTTTGCTGTTAAATTAGTCCCAATAATTGCACCCCCATCCATCTATAATTTAATAATAGCACATGACATGGTACTCCCACTTTGCCATCCCCATCCATTTGCTTTAGAATCTTGATCGGTCCTTTGTAGAAAGTGCCACCAACCCACCGTGGATAACCAGCTTGATCAGTAAGGTGCATGTCCCCCTCATCTATCCTCACTGACTAGCACTGGCACAAGGAAACATCTCAATACACCAAGGATCCCTGGGGAAAATCGGGCTCATCTTTGCTAGGAAAAGAAATTTTTGTTACACAAATCCTCTATCACTCCATGCTAGCGTATCGCATGCATGGTGTAATACTGGCATCGATCGAGAAAAGCAGAGGGAAAAAAATGAGTACACGTGGCGATGCCTCAGAAGGTGGCCTTCTTAAGCGATGTGATGGTGACCGACGACCCGAGCGGCGAGGACCCGACCTGGACGTCGAAGGAGTCGTACCGGAGGAAGAGCTCGGCGACGAGGAGGCGCGCGATGAGCACCACGAAGTCCTTGCCGGCGCACTGCTTGTCCTGCAGCGTGGGCGTCGCCGACTCGGGCCCGTTGGACCACACCACGTACCGGAGCAGCCGCTCGCCGTCCTCGCCCAGGAACCTGTCGGGCACGTAGTCCTCGGCGCGCGGGAACACGCGCGGGTCCTTGGTGGCCATGGGCTGGTACCCGAACAGCAGCTCCCCCTCCCGCACCTCGTACCCGTAGTCGTGGCTCTCCACCACCATGTCCCGCTTCGCGCGCCCGTACTGCATCGCCACCGGCGGCTCGACCCGCAGCGCCTCGTACACGGCCGACTTCACCAGCGGCATCTCGGCCAGCGCCCGCATCGTCACCTCGCCGCCGTTGGCGCGCACGGCGGCGCGCACCTCCGTCGCGAGGCGGCCGTGCACCCGCCCGCCGGCGCGGCCCAGCCACTTCACCAGCGACGGGAACAGGATCTTGATGCCGCCGAAGGAGTTGAAGCACATGGCGAAGAGGATGTTGTGCACCGCCTCCTCCCGCGCGATGCCCAGCCGCTCGCCCTCGTCGATCACCGCCTTGCCGGCGTCGCGGAAGAAGTCGGCGAGGCGGCCGTAGTCCTTCTTGATGAGCGCCGGCGGGAGGCGGAAGCTGTGGAGCAGGCCGTCCTCCACGAGGGTGGGCAGGCCGAGGCTGAGCAGCGGGCTGATCTGGAACAGAAGCCACTTAGCTATCAGCTTGGGCCCTTCGTCGCGGAGCGGCGAGTCGACGGGGTCGCGGCCGAGGAGCGCCTGGCAGAGGAAGCCGAAGGCGGCTTCGTCGTTGTAGTTGCCGAAGTCGGCCTTGCCGACGCGGGCGAGGTCGTTCTCCATGCGGCCGAAGAGGCCGCCGTAGACCTCGCGGAACGTGGGGATGACGTGCTGGCGGCGGTGGGTGAGGAGGTGGAAGAGGAGCGACTTGAGCGGCGCGTGGTTGGCCTCGGCGGGGTCGACGTAGGAGAGCACGCGGTAGCCGCCGGTGAGGTCGGTGGAGGGCATGAAGGTGCCGGTGAAGAGGTCGGTCTTGTCGACGAGCGAGGTGTCGAAGAGGACCGGGAAGGAGGCGGCGTCGAGGAGCGCCACCACGCGGGGGTCCTTGGCCACGAAGGGGCCGGGGGGCATGTTGAGGCGCACCACCGTGGAGCGGTGCGCGCGGACGCGGGCCGCGAAGAAGCCGTCGCGCCCGCCGGGCCCGTAGAAGTACTCGAGCCGGTCCTTGAGCGCGCCCAGCAGCGGCGGGCCGTGCTCGCCCGGCACCTTCCGCAGCGGCAGCCGGCGCTTCGGCGATAGCACCTCGTGCCGGTCCGTCGCGGACGCGGACGCGGACGCCCGGCTCTGCCGCCGCCTGGCGCCCGCGCTCGGCGCGGAGAAGGAGAGCTGGTGGACCGCCGTCGCCATCGGCTTTGATCCGTGCGAGAGCCGCTACAGAGCGAAGCGCTAGAGCTCGAGTACTTGAGCGGCGAAGTCCACGGCGGCGGCTGCTGCTGCTGCTTGTGGTATGCCGTGTGCTGGTGCTGGTGTCTGGTGTGGTATAATGACTCGGTTCGTGTGTGGGGGCGGCCATTTAAAAAGCGGCGTTGGAGACGGGCAGTGCGCCTTGACTGCGCGCGTGGAGGGAGTGGGAAACGTGTGCCTTTCGGGCGGCGCGCCGCTCGCGTGGCCGCGGCCGGTGGTGTGTCTGATCGGACGAGTAGAGTGGAGCAGCTTCCGCTCACCGACCCCGGCGCGGCCTCGTGCGCTTGAAGAACCGGTAAAAGGTGGCGACTGCTGAGAGCATCTCCGACCACATTTGACTAACTGATCTTTGATATGTTGATGGATGTATAGGAAGGCGTTCGTGGACAAGTCAACTGATTCGCATTCGTCCGTTTGGGCAACCGTCGTGTTCATTTTCAAAGATCTCAAAACCATACAAATGCATCGGAAATTTGGAGGGGCACGCACCTGCCATGTCCTGCCTAGCCGCTCGATTGCCTCACCTTCGTGAAGTTGTTGAATCCCACGCGAGGGCATAGCAAGTTTTAATTTCAGTCGTTTAAACTAACGATTTTTTATCCCAAACTTGTGGTTTTCTCGCTCGCTCTTACCAAGTTTCATAGATAAGATTCTTATGCATTAATTTTTTGTCAGTTGTAGGCGCCAAAATTGTGATTTTATTAGTCGATCGTACTAAGTTTCAAGAGTTAAAGCTTAATATTTATTTTTAAAATTCATCAAAACATATTTAAAATGGATCTTATTTGAAAGCACTCATCACTGGAAATACGAATACGAAAGCATTACTTATTTGGACTATTCGTTCAAAAGATATAAACGTTTGAAAATCAGAAGCCAAAAATAAAAAGCACGCATGAGGACCTGCGTGCCCTGAGACCCGTGTTACACAAATCCACTCCCACAAATGCATGCATGTAGATCGTCCAATCAGTGGGGATGTACAGGGTGGCCAGGGTGGGCCGCGGCCCACCATGAGATTTTAAAACTGGTTATATACCTATGTCTCTAATTGGGCCAGAGATGAAAAAGAAGGCCCACTAACCTATCCCGTGACGAACGCATCCACGATCCGCGTCGAGCACGAGCAGAACCCTCGACCCCTTGCACAACAACTCTCTGCCCGACGCCCCGACCCCGACACCCAGCCGGCCAGCCGTCGCGGCGTCGCCGTTCCTCACGGCTTCGTCGGTCGCTCGCCGCCCAAACGAAGACCGGAGTCCGGTTGTGCCCCTGCTCTGCGCCCGGCCGCTCGCCCAATCCGGCCGCGCCCCTGGCCCCTGCCCTGCGCGCGGCTGTGCACCTCCGCCCCCGCCTCCGCTCTGGCTGTCCCAGCGTCCCACCAGCCCCCCCCTGCCCAAGCAAAGCCCCACCACGGCGGCAAACAAGTTACAAGTAATTTTTGCCCCAATTTTAGACTTAGGGTTTGCCCTTTTGCCCCAAGTTCAGACAAGGGTTTGCCTCTTTGTCTCAATTTGAACACATAATTCTGCACAAGTATTTTGCTTAAATCGGTCTATATGCAGAAATGATGTGAAATTTTAGTTGGCTTGAATGAAGCCACAAAGGCTTGAATTCTGCCTCAATTACTTTCATTATAATTAGCTTGAATGAACCACCTTTCAGTTCTGCTTCAATTACTTTCATTTTGCACATCATGCCTCGGTTTACTTGTGTATTGATAGAGAGTAGTTTTTATTACATAATTGTTGAAGTATGAAGAGGGCCAGAGACATAGCTTCTCTTTTCCAGAGAAAAGCTATTAAGGTAGGGAAGAAGAAGAAGACAGGGAATATGCCGGATGTGGCCGAAGATAATACTGGAGAACTTGTGTGCGAGTTGTGATTGAAGAGGAAACTCAAGAACCAACAGTGAACTTCTCAAGGTATGTCTATAGTCCATGTAGTATGTAATATTTAGGCTTCTTTATGCAAAACTTAGTCTTAATTGAGAATTCTAGTGTGTTTGTAAGACCATATTGATATATTTCTATTTGATACTGAGAACTAGTTAAAACATTCACATGTCATATTTCTTGTCAAATTTTGTTTTGGGTGGACCACCCTGATGTCAAATGCTAGCTCTGCCACTGCGTTCAATCAATATAACACCTCAAATCCAAACAAAGGCATGTCCACTGAGGAGCTTGATGATGTCGTCCATGATCATTGGAGTTATGGCACTTGTATGTCGAGTTCGGATCCCGCGTGAAACCATCTCAGATGCCCCGCCATTGTGAAGCCAGAACGATGTATGGCGCGGGCGTATGCATTGTAGACACAGCTGGATCGGACGCAGGAAACTCCAAGTCTGACCTCCTCGCGACATCCTACTCATCTCGGGCACGCCAGTCCTTGCGGGTGATGCTCTCCACATTTTCTGCAACTGTCGGAGTCCCCATGCACTTCGTTGGCCCAAGGTTCATGGCGGCACACGGACGAAGGAGTGAGCATCGACGGCTCGGACGGAGGAGTAGGTCGACGACGCGGATGAGAAAGAAGGTCGGAGGAGGGTGACGGTGTGGACGTCGAAAGGGGCCTGGCGCCGAGGAGGGGATGGTCGATTTGAGCGATTTGGGGGATTTGTGGTTGGTGATGTCGTGGTACTAAGTCTGACAGTAGTAATAGGGGGTACGAATGAGGAGGCAAGGTCCTAGCTACGGCAAGATTGTACGCGAGTGTTTACGAGTTCAGGCCCCTCTCAGAGGAGGTAAAATCCCTACGTCTCGGTGTCTGAAGGCGGTCGACTGGATTATATGAGTGTGTGTTACAGGGGGTGCGAACCCTTGAGCCAGAGGAGGGGGGTGGCTTATATAGAGTGCGCCAGGACCCCGGCCATCCCCTGTTACCAAGAGTTCAATGTACATAAAGATGGGGCAATTACTGGTAACGCCAGCCATAAGTGCCTTCAATGACTTTAAAGACTACGGAGTGAATGCTTGACCGTTGCTGTTCTGGATGACTCCTGGTCTTCAGTAGGTTGAGTGGTTTTTTGTATGGTCGAGTGGTTGACTGGTTGTACGACTTCAGGAAGGAGGGGTACCCGAGTGACTGATTGGTCGAGTGGATTGCACTCGACGCATTTATTGGGCACTCCTTGTTGTCTCTTCAGCTTCTTTGCTTCTAGGGTAGTGACCTTGGGTAGGACGTATAGGTCAGACCTATGACCCTACCCCAGGTCCATATCATCATCATTAGCCCCCGAATGGATTGAGGTTCGAGTGAAAAGAAGGCTGAAGTTGATCTTGTTTCGACCCTTGTGCTTCGTAAGTACTCATGTTAAACGGGAGGCTCATGTTGGAACTTCGTCTTTGTTTCAGTCGCCTTGATCGATTCAGAAGTTACCGAGTGAATTTATAACGTCATCCGTCGAGTGTCGTTTTTGACGCCAAATCTTTGGCGCGATTGGTTATAGTGTATCCCGAATTTCACGGGATTTGAAATTTAGGGGAAGCGCGCGAGGCGGAGCGTGCCGTGGTAAACGGGTTGGATAGACAGGAGCGCCTCGATTCCTGCACCACCTTTTTTGCCATGTACCTAGCGCGCGACTGTTGTGGAATTTGACAGGATCGCCCGGGCCCACGCGTCAGCCACTCGGAAGTGGGTCCTTAAAAGGCGACGGGGCCGAGGCGCCTGCATTGTGCGCGTCCATTCTCCTTCTTTCTCATCTGCTTCTCCACCGCATTCGGCTCCTCCGCTCTCGACGCCGCTGCTCCGCCACCATGGTGAAGGACAAGACGGTGGTGCTGGAATGCGCGAAGAAGGCGACGGGGGCGGCGAAAGGTAAGAAAACGAATCGTGGGTCGTCGTCGTGGTCAGCATTCCCGTCGGGTTGGATCCAGGGCGATTGGATCCGATCCTCGCTCCGGCCGGAAGATTTGGAGGAGTTGGCTGAGTCCGGTCTGATCGCCAATGGGGCTGCACGGTTGCCGTAGAGGGAGACGGAGCCACAACCACGACTGGGTAAGTGCGTCCTGCTTGCCACCCATGTCAATCGCGGTTTCTCGCTTCCCCCGCACCCTTTTTTCCGGGGGTTCTTGAACTTCTTCGGAGCCCAACTCCATCATTTTTCTCCCAACACCATCACATACCTTGCTGCGTTCGTGTCTATGTGCGATAATTTTCTGGGTTGTCGGCCACACTGGGGTCTTTTCAAGTGATCTTCACAATCCGCTCTTAGTCGGTGAAGAAAGCAAATTTGTGTGACGAGAAAACACACGTTATCGAAATGTGTGGGGGTTTGGGTATCCAGAAGAGGAAGAGGAGCTCTTTCCCTTCCATGACCCTTCCTGAGTCGGTTAGGGGCTGGCAGTCGACCTGGTTCTACTGCCAGGACATTGCGACTCTAGGCCAGACGACTGGACTTCCCCCTTTTACTTTAGATCATGTCCAGACCCCTTCCTCGCTGAAAGTGACCACTGTGGAGAGGGTGGAAACAAACATGTTGGTTGAGAGGATGGTCTAGTTGATCATTCAGGGTGTCACTGACATGGATTTGTTGGAGGTATTTCTCAGTCGATGCATCCAGCCTCTCCAGGCTCGTGACCACTCAATGTGGATGTATTCTGGAGCCAACGACACCACTCGGGTTCATCCATAGGAAGTATCGGCCAAGACAGTGGCCCAGTGGTTGAAGAGTATCACAGGAAACAGGGACAACCCAGAGGCGCCAGACGAGTCGACCCCTTCAGCGACAGCAACCAGCCAGACAAGGCTCGGTCTCTGCCACCGACTGAATTTGGGTACATCTTGCGACTGTCTTTGAATCCGACTGAATTTTACTCGACTTCTTGTCTTGTAGGTTTATACCGAGATGTACTCGATGCCCAATGGTGAACAAGCTCTGGAGCAGGACTAGGAGGGAGAGGACAACACGGAGGAAAGTGGCGATTGGCAATCTCCAGA